CTCTAGAGGATCCCCATTGCATAATGTTATACATACCGACGTCTATGAAACATCATACCATATGACAACAGATATGCCCCCCTTGTTTTACAACCCTGTATAGGCGAGTTCAAAACAAACTGGTCAGAGCTTGGCGGTATAGACCCATATGCATGCTGCATCAGCGGCGGCATCAGGGGGTGGTTCATCGGTGCTAAGACTGGCAACATCGAGAATATTATCAACCACGTCAAAACACGCCAGCACATGATGGCGTGCAAGCAAGAGACACAGCGGCTCACCCAGCAGGGTGGCCTTGTCGCGCGGCCCATGCCACCACCTGGAGTGCGAGACGTCAGCTGTGCCTGGCCACCTGACATGCGCATGCATCTATATGGCATGTCGGACGAGGCGGCAGAGGAGGAGTATCAGCGCCTCTACAGCCAGTTTCAGCACAGGCGCACACGTCGGCGAGAGCAGCAGCCCAATGCCGTAGACAGTGGGCGCCGCATCTTACCGCGCACTTCACCCACTCCTGCACCTGGAGCGCGCACCGTTGGTCCCAACATGGATCCGGAGGCACAGCGCATCGTCAGCCCCGACGTGGCGACATGGATATCAGCGATAGCGAGTCTGGTGAGGGAGTCCATATGGTTCGAAGCGGAGGGGGTGGGAATGTGCGCCTGTTTCTCTCCAGTGAGAGTCCGGAGTGGTTCACCCCACTGAGTATCATAGAGCTGGTGCGTGTTCACTCCTGGCAGGATCGACCTGGACCCATGCTCGTCCGCGGCTGCTAACACACGTGTTGGGGCGACAGTGTATTACGATATGGAATCCGATGGTCTGTTGGAGTGCAACGCGTGGATGGGCAATGTGTTTGTCAACCCGCCTTTTGGGGTGCACGGTGGTGCAAGCTATCAGAGCCTGTTTTTCCAGAGATGCGCAACAGAGTACACGGCTGGTCACATTCACCAAGCAGTACTGCTGCTGAAAGCCGCTGTGGGTTATGCGTGGTTTGATGCCATACTACATTGGCCTGTCTGTTTTCTGCGCCAACGTTTGGCGTTTGTGCGTGGGCAATCCGGGAGTCAACAGCAGGAGGGAGGACCCCTGACATGGGGAGCGCGGGTAGCCAATCCACACGGAAGTGTCGTGGTTTACATGGGCCCAGACGTGCAACGTTTTGTGTCAGTGTTTGGTTGTATGGGCGGAATACCGGGGGCGACTTCATGGGCCATGCCCCGCCCAACGGAGAGCTCGATGGATTAAGGCATAGATTGCATATGGCGAACATATTCTTCTCGGCAGACATCTGCATTTTCATTTGTTTTCAATGTAGCTCGTGGTACTGAGTTTAGCGGTTTATCAGAGATTTGTCATTGTTTCCACCCGAACCTATTCATGTGTACGAGTGTTGTGGGATAAACTGGACGGACTGTCGATAAAGTGTGGTGGGAAAACAGTGGGACCTCGGCAGCTGACTTGACTGGGTAATGCAGTCGTGGCCCTGAGTGCTTGCCTCCGGTAGTAGTAGTAGTGCCAGAGTACGGTAACCAGGTGTGCAAGTTTTTCCACTCCATGTCGTGGGATCGAATCTAATACACACATGAGGCACTTGTAAGCGGTCCTCTTGCAAAGTTTTTCTGTAAATTCCTTAAAAGTCATGTGCTTTTGGATGCCAGCCCCGGCCAATCCTGCCAACTTGACAGCCAATTCGACACCCTGTCAGGCTAATTCGATACCCTGTCAGGCCAATCTGACACCCCGAACAGGTCAATTCGATACCCTGTCAGGCTAATTCAATACCCTGTTAGGCCAATTCGGCACCCGGACAGGCCAATTCGACACCCGGACAGGCCAATTCAGGCGCAGCACAGCCCAATTCCGAGGCTCCACAGCGCAATTCGAATACCTCCGGCGGGTCCGCCAGAACAATTCCAGACCTCGGCAGACCAATTCTTTTGTCAGGAATAAAATCCAGGCTAATTCTGCGACAGAGCTCTTCCCTAATTCCAGCCCGAATCCTACCCTCCTGCAGAAGTACGTCAGCCTT